TCACAGATCTACTTTTGGCTTTTTTTTTTTTTTTGGTCGGTTGGGGCTTGAACTCTGAGCCTGGGCGCTGTCTTTGCATTCTTCAGCTTAAGGCTAATGCTCTACCCCTTGAGCCACAGCACCACTTCCTGTTTTCTAGTGGTTTATTGGAAGTAAGAGTCTCATGGACTTTCCTGCCCAGGCTGGTTTTGAACCTCAATTCTCAGATCTCAGCCTCCTGAGTAGCTAGGATTACAGGTGTGAGTCACCAGCACCTGGCTTCCACTCTGGTTTTTTGTGGTTAATTGGAGATAAGAGTCTCATGGACTTCCTTGCCCAGCCTGGCAAGGAAGATCAAACTGTGATCCTCAGATCTTCAGCCTCCTCAAAAATAGCTAGGATTACAGGCGTGAGCCACCAAAGCCTGGGTTTTACAAATTCTTGGAAGCTGGCTCTGCCTCTTACTACCGGCATAGCTTTGAGGCTGAGTGTCTTTGGACTCACTTTTCTCCTCTGAAATGAAGATACAAATGTTAGCAGAAATTGGTGGATTGGATGAGTTAAGTCATAATATTTTCTTCTCTTTGTGTGTGTGTGTGGCAGTACCGAGGTTTGGACTCAGGGCTTCATGCCCTGCATGGCTGGTAGGCAGATCTACCCCTGACAGCCCCTCTCCTGTTATAGTACTCTCCTTTGGGGTCCTCACCCCCTGTGGGGGAAACGGAGGATTTGCTGCAGAGTGAATGAGTGCCCCCCCATCCTCTTCCCCTGCAGCCTCCAAACGAAGGGTCCCAATGTCCCAGCCAGGCATGGCAGACCCCCACCAGCTTTTTGACGACACCAGTTCAGCCCACAGCCGGGGCTATGGCGCTCAGCGGGCACCCGGCAACCTGGGCTACCCTGCCACCTCTGCGTCCCCCCAGGCAGCCTTCTTAACAAATCCTGTCTCCGACATGGCCGTGGCCTATGGGAGCAGCCTGGCGGCCCAGGGCAAGGAACTTGTGGATAAGAATGTAAGTAGGTGGGGAGTAGTGGGAATGGGGTGCATGTGGGGGGTCAGACAGAGGCCACACAGCCTCAGGTTTGAGCTCTGCCTCCCCAGATTGACCGCTTCATCCCCGTCTCGAAGCTCAAGTATTACTTCGCTGTGGACACAGTGTATGTGGGCAAAAAACTGGGCCTGCTCATCTTCCCTTACCTACACCAGGTAAGCACCCCTGCCCAGGGGCTGGGGCTATAAACAGGGCAGGAGAAGCCCCATTTCTGGGCTTCTGCCCATTCCCCCCTCACTCTACAGGACTGGGAGGTACAGTACCAGCAGGATACCCCTGTGGCACCCCGCTTTGATGTCAACGCTCCGGATCTCTACATTCCAGGTCTGTCTCCTCCTCCTTCTAGCTGGGATTACAGGCAGGAACCATTGCACCCCTTCTAGCTGGGATTACAGGCAGGCACCATTGCACCCTGATTTTTATTGGTGGCAGGGGGCTGGATAGTCAGAGGCCCCAAATGGCTCTTTGTCCTCTGATCAGTGTCCCTGTCTCCCCCAGCGATGGCTTTCATCACCTACGTCTTGGTGGCAGGCCTTGCACTGGGAACCCAGGACAGGTAAGGCTGGGCCTGGGCTGGAGGGCTGGGTTGAGGGGCAGTAGGGCAGTAGGGCATTCTGGAAGTCTTAAGTCTCTCCCTCATAGAACACCTTTCCTAGTACCACCTTGGCTCCCAGTTGGTTTGAGACATTGCTATCGCCATTTTTGTTCTATCCAGCTCCCACTCCTTCCTCTTGGCCTCTGGCCCCAGATCTGTCCTCTTCCTCATTTGCTTAAAAGAGGCCCTCCCCTCCCCCAATACCTCCTGACTCCAGCAGTAGCCGGAATGTTCAGTCCTGGCTGCTGCTTTGTTCACCCTGCCTGCTGTTCTGCTCCTCTGTCCGTGCATCCCCAGAACCTCTGACCCCAGGGTCATTGTACATTTTTTTTTTTTGTCAGTTATGGGGCTTGAACTCTGGGCCTGGGCACTGTCCCTGAGCTTTTCAGCTCAAGGCTAGCACTCTATGGCTTGAGCCACAGCGCCACTTCCGGTTTTCTGGTAGTTAATTGGAGATAAGTTTCACAGACTTTCCTGCCTGGGCTGGCTTTGAACCGTGACCCTCATATCTCAGCCTCCTGAGTAGCTAGGATTACAGGCATGAGCCACCGGCGCCTGGCTGTACATCCATTTCTTTTGGCCCAAGAATACGTTTCTCCCCCATGTCACCTGCCCAGCACTTGCTCATTCACCATTATCTCCCAGCCAGTGTCACCTCTTCACCTCCACCTCTCCTAGTCCCCTGCACCTTTCCTTTGTGCCACTGAAAACAAATGCCATTAGAAACAGTTAGATGAAGCGCAAAAACCAAGCTCTCCTTCCCCTACCAGCTCCTTAGCCCTCCTGATATCAGCTCAGCCATACTGTCTTCTGGAATGCCTCCTCTTGCCTATGTCCATCACAAGCCTTTCCCGGTCCCCTTGCCCAGCCCTGACTGCTGTGGGTGTTACAGTCTATGGACAAGCCTGCTGTCATGGCAGGCTGCCACCCATCTTTGGGGACTCCAGCGATGACAGGAGACCAATGACAGGGTTTGGGTGTTGGTCCTGGCAGGTTTTCCCCAGACCTTCTGGGACTCCAGGCAAGCTCAGCTCTGGCCTGGCTGACCGTGGAGGTGCTGGCCATCCTGCTCAGCCTCTACCTGGTCACAGTCAACACCGACCTCACCACCATCGACCTGGTGGCCTTCTTGGGCTACAAATATGTCGGGTGAGTGCCCCGTACTCTGCCTGCCAGCCCCAGCCTTCAGGCCTCTTCCTCAGACCTGGCTTCCCCTCTCTCTCTGCCTCCAGGATGATCGGCGGGGTCCTCATGGGCCTGCTCTTTGGGAAGATTGGCTACTACCTGGTTCTGGGCTGGTGTTGCATGTCCATCTTTGTGTTTATGGTAAGCCTGGGCCCAGGGTGTGTGAGGCTGAGGCCAGAGGCCTCTTGGGCTGACCCCTCAGGACATCCAAGCAGAGGAGCTCCAGGAACTTAAACCACAGTCATATTAGTGAACTGAAGGGATCTAGAGTGGCCACTTCTGCCTGGAGGGCTTCCTGGAAGAGGGGTGATCATGCTGGGGCCTAGAGGGATAGAGCCAGCCAGGATGCTGGGGGTGGTAGCATGCTGGTTCCAGGGAAACCCCTCACCTTTGTTTCCTTCCTTCACATGATGGGCTTTCCAGCCCACATGTCCCCATGAGATGAAGCCTGTTCAGCTGGGTACCCATGGCTCGCACCTGTAATCGTAGCTACTCAGGAGATCTGAGGATCATGGTTCAAAGCCAGCCCAGGCAGGAGTCTGTGAGACTCATTTCCAATTAACCACCAGAAAACTGGAAGTGGTTCTGTGGCTCAAGTGGTAGAGCGCTAGCCTTGAGCTGAAGAGCTCATGGACAGCGCCCAGGCCCAGAGTTCAAGCCCCATGACCAACCTAAACAACAACAAAAAGCCCATTCAGGGCTGGGGAGGTGGCTCAGTGGTAGAGCGCTTGCCTTGCATTCATGAGGCCCTGGGTTTGATTCCTCAGCACCACATAAGCAAAAAGAAAAAAAGCCGGAAGTGGCGCTGTGGCTCAAGTGGTAGAGCGCTAGCCTTGAGCTGAAGAGCTGAGGGACAGCGCCCAAGCCCCATGACTGGACCCAAAAAAAAAAAAAAAGCCCATTCAGATGGAGTGGGATGCTGGTGACTGGACCCTTAGGTTGACCTCAGTCTTCACCAGGCTTTTACAACAAATCACTTTCTCTGCCTAAACCTGGCTCCTGTTTTGTAAAATGGAACGATTAGACTGGGGATGTGGGTCAGATGTAGAACACTGGTCAGCAAGTGTGGGGCCTTGAGTTCAAAGCCCAGCCTTGCAAAAAAAAAAAAAAGGGATGCTGGTGAGGGTCCTGGGAAGACTGGGGTGAGCAGAAGCCAAGACAGTCGCAAACTGCGCCGAAAAGACAGCAGTTGCCATCTGAAGGGCTGTGCTAGTAGCTCAGAGGTAGAACGCTTGCCACGCTTTTGGAGGCCCCTCGAGTCCATTCATTGGCTCCCCCCAAAAAAGGACAGTTGTCGACTGACCCATACACGGGCGGTTTTGGCAGGGAGTTCCCAAGGAAGGGCTGGGCCTGGCCTCGGAGTCTGGGCCCTCCTGTTTTCTGCCTCCAAGACCAAGAAGGGAGGAGGGGATTGAGTCCCCCCCTCCCAGCAGGAACTGGAGGCTGCAGGGACTTGGGGGCGGGCAGTAGTCTGGTCCCCGTGGCCCCGAGGTAACCCTTCACCCCGTCCCCGTCTCTCCTCTCCCCGCAGATCCGAACCCTGCGGCTGAAGATCCTGTCGGAGGCGGCGGCGGAGGGGGTCCCGGTGCGCGGGGCGCGCAACCAGCTGCGCATGTACCTGACCATGGCGGTGGCGGCGGCGCAGCCGCTGCTCATGTACTGGCTCACCTTCCACCTGGTGCGGTGAGCCCGGCCCGGTTCCCGCAGACTCATCTCACCCCCGGCCGGCCCGGCCCGGCCGCCCGCCCTCCCCGCCAAGGTGCTGATTTTTTCTCGCTGCACAATAATAAACCTGACGTTCCGCGGCCTCGGCTTTGGGTTGTTGGGTGGGGGCGCAGCGGCCCAGACGGGCGCGGACGGGGCGGGGCAGAAGGCGGCGGCCTGGGACGGGCAGGGGAGGGGGAGGGGGGGGGGAGAGGAGAGCGAGGGCGGGGTAGAAGAGAGCAGCAGCCGGGCGCGCGCGCGGAGGGCGGGACGGGGCGGGGCAGAGGAGAGCGGCGGCCGGGCGCGCGCGCGCGGAGGGCGGGGCGGGGCGGGCAGAGGAGAGCGGCGGCCGGGCGCGCGCGCGGAGGGCGGGACGGGGCGGGCAGAGGAGAGCGGCGGCCGGGCGCGCGCGGAGGGCGGCGACGCGGGATGCCGGCAGGGGGCGGCACAGAGCTGCGGCCGGGCGCGAAGGTGGGGGAAGGTTTAATGGCCCCGCCCGCCTGCCGTCAATGGGGGGCCTTCTCCTTCTTCCCCTTCTTCTCCTTCTTCTTGGGCTTCTTGGCCTTGTCCGGGCAGGGCTTGCGCTGCTCGCAGCCGGCGGCCTGCGGTGCGCCGCGGACGGCGGGTGGGAGAGGAGACTTGCGGTCTGGGCACGGGCCCGCGCCCCCCGCCCCCCGCCCCGGCGCTGCCCCGCGCCCCCGGCCCGGCCCGCGGGGCCGGCGCGGCCTTACCTTCCCCTCTGACTCCGCCTCGCTGGAGCTGCTGCTGCTGCTGCTGGAGTCCGAGGAGCTCCCGTGGCGTTGCTGGGTGGGGTGTGCAGTGAGCGGGGACCCCTACCAGCCCCCCACCCCAGCGTGGGAGGCCCCGGCACCCGGGCCGGCCACTTACCTTCGGGTGCTGAGCGGCGCCTGCCTTTGGCCCGCCCTGAGCTTTGTGGGGACAGGACTTGGGGTCTACCACCTGGCCTGCCCCTGCTGGCTTGTTGGAAGTGGAGCCCAGGGCTGCAGAGAGGAGACGTCAGGTGCACCCCCCTCCCCGCGTGAGGACCCCAGGTTGTGCCACTCCCTCCCGGGGGGTCACTCCCTCCCTGGGGTCGTACCTGCAGACAGGTCGAACTCCATGGTGCTGAGGTGTGTGGGGAAAGGGAGGCCGGGAGAGCTTAAACTGTGCCTCAGGGCAGGGGGAGGGACACAGTTTGCCCGTCCCAGGAATTCCGAGGAGCCCCACCCTCAGCCTTTGTCCCCATAAGAAGCTCCTGAGCTCTGACTCACCCACCCCTCCCCGGCTTCACCCCGACTTTCCTCCCTGGGAAATGGAAAGGCTTGCTTGCCACCTTCAGCCTTGGCCCTGGGGATGGGGGCTGCAAACTTCCGGAAGAGCCCTCCTGGGAACCACAGTGCATTCTGACCCTGTCAAGGGCTTCAAGCTTGGTTTCAGGTCACAGCCCCTCTCTGGTCTCCAGAGGCAGGAACAGCCACAGGGAGACCAGGAAGCTATGTGGCCTTCCCCTGTAGGTGATAGCTATCTTGGGATGACTGTGACCTGAGATGGATTAATTTCCGAGACTGGTACCTGCAAAGTGCATATAAAAGAAAGCACTGTAGGGGGCAGGGGGGAGGCTGGGAAGGGATGTGAAGGGTAAACCAAAGGAGGAGGCTGCAATGCTTGGTAAGAAATGTACTCATTATCCTGCCCATGTAATTGTAACCCCTCTGTACAGTATGTTCACAAATTAAATTAAATTAAAAATAAAATAAATAAATTGCTTTGTTACATGGCAAAAAAGAAAAAAAGAAAGCACTGTATTAATAGGTGTCTTTGGGGGTGCTATTAGAAATACACCTGACAGAATGACTTTGTAATTGTGCAGGCCCCATCACATTGTGGGGGAGGGATCTAGAGGCCTGCTGTCTGGCCAGCAGAGGGGACACCTACCTTCTTTCCACTTCTTCCTCGTCCCTTGCGAGGGCAATAGCTGATTTTAAAGGAGCTTTAACAGCATTTGAAAGAGCTCTACCTGGGCTGGGAAGGTGGCTCAGTGGTAGAGCGCTTGCCTTGCATGCAGGAGGCCCTGGGTTTGATTCCTCAGTACCACCTAAGCAAAAAGAAAAAGCCGGCAGTGGTGCTGTGGCTCAAGTGGTAGAGCACTAGCCTTGAGCTGAAGAGCTGAGGGACAGCACCCAGGCCCAGAGTTCAGGCCCCATGACCGGACCCCCCCCCAAAAAAAAAAAAAAAAAAAAAGAAGAGCTCTACCTCTCAGAGGAGGCTTGCAACCACTATCAACCTGGGGATTGGCGCCCAAAGCTGAGAACTGAACCCAGGGCCTTGTCCATGCTGGGCATTCACTTACCATTTCATCTACATGCCCTGTGCTCCTCCTGTCCCAAGATAGGGTTTCAATATGTACCCTAGGCTGGTCTTCAACTCCTCTTGGTGATCCTCCTATCTCAGCCTCCTGAATGTCTGTGCAACCATGCCTGGCTTGTTTTTGTTTTTGAGATGGATGAAATTACCTTTGCCCAGGGTTTTCTGTAATTTGAGATCCACCTACCCCCTTCACCAGGGGTTGATTACAGGCATGCATCACCATACCCAGCTATAAGCTGTATTATTGCTGGGCATGGTGGCAATTTCCATGTACTGGGCAGCACTCAAGAGTCAGAGGGCAGAGGATGGCAGGCTGAAGGCCAACCTAAGCAACATAGCCAGGGCGTGTCTTTAGAAGATACTAAGCTGGGTGCCAGTGGTTTTCACTTGTAATCCTAACTACTCAGAAAGCTGAGATCTGAGGATTGAAGTTCAAGAGGCATCCAGCTGAGTCCAGCCTCCCCTTCCCAGCACTGGCTCAGGTCAGGTGGCCTTGTACACCCCTTTTTAGCCCAGCCTCCCCCAAGCAGCACAAGTGTGTGTAGTTCATGACCCTTATACTCAGAGGCCCATCCCTCAAGGGGCCTGCCCTGACTGCAGACAGCCCACCCATCACTCCTCTCCTTACCCTGGTCTAGCATGGTGTGCTCATCACTACCTGAAAGTTGTTGTTCCTTCATTCTTTGGCATGCATTTACTCAGCACCTGCTAGGTCTCCTACATGTTCAAGGAGCCCACGTTCTGGTGGGGCACAAGGGAAGTTTTTTTTTGTTTTTTTTTTGGGGTCCAGTAGTGGGGCCTGAACTCTGGGCCTGGGCGCTGTCCCTCAGCTCTTCAGCTCAAGGGTAGCACTCTACCACTTGAGCCACAGCACCACTTCTGGCTTTTTTCTTTTTGCTTATGTGGTACTGAGGAATTGAACCCAGGGCCTCATGCATGCAAGGCAAGCGCTGTACCACTAAGCCACCTTCCCAGCTCCGAGTGCTTTATTTTTTAAGAGGGTAGAACTCAGTACCACATGTTTTGCTAGGCAGGTCCTCTACCACTTTAAGTAGTGACCCCCCCACCTTTGATTCCAGGTAGGGTCTTTTTTTTTTTTTGCCCCAGGCCAGCCTCAGACCTTGATCCTCCTGATCTCTGCCCCTGTAGCTGGGATTGCAGACTTATGAGCAATGTCTGTGGTTATGCCTGCAGCTGGGTGCTGGATTCCATGAGAAAGTCTTGTATGATGAGGGTGGGGATCTTGTCTGCTTTGATCACCAGACGCTGGGTCCCAGTGTTGTTCCTTATCTTCTGCTGAGTCAGCGAGGCAAGCTCAGGCCAGAGGGTGCTAAGGACAGCGTGGAGCTGGAGGACTGCCTGGCAGGGGCAAGAACGCTAACCTAACTCTGAATCTGTTTCCTCCTGTGTGAAGTGGAAAACTTACCTTACAATGTTTGTTTGGGATCTGAATTTAAGGCTTCACTCTTGCTAGGCAGGTGCTTCCTTGCTTGAGCCAACATCTTGAGCCATTGCTCTGGTTATTTTTGAGTTAGGGTCTCATTTTCCTGAGCTGCCTGGACAGCAGTCCTCCTATTCATACTTCCTGTCCTAGCTGGGATGACAAGCCCACAACACATCTTCTATCAGATAGGAGGGTGTCTGATGAACATTTTCCACAGGTTGACCTTTGAATTGTGATCCTTCTGATCTCTGCTTCCTGAGTAGCTAGGATTACAGATACAAGATACTAGCATCTGGCTAAGGTAAATAGATGCTTAGTAAATGTTAGGAAAGTTTACTGGGAAAAGAAAACACTTTTAATAGAATGAGAATGAGTCACCTCTAGGGTGACAAAGATCAAAATGTTAGAGTTGGTCATGAAACTAGAGGACAGGACCCTCAAAAGTTATTATGTGTGACAGCTGGGACCAGAATTGGTATTGTTTCTCACCCAAGGACACCAGGTAGCATGTTGTGCAACAGCGGTGAGACCAGTAGCCTGAAGATACAGGGTGGGTGACCTAGCCCACAGAGGACATGGCCTATCCTCCTGACTCCATATTGTTTTATAGTCAGGACCCAATTCTGTGGTCCTTGGCAGAGGACAGCTTGGGCTTTTTGTGTATTTTTAGACCATACAAAATAAAATAATACAGGCATGCCATGTATCAGTGGTCCGTACCTGTGACCCTAGTTACTCAGGAGGCTAAAATATGAGGATATTGCTGTTCACAGCCAGCCTGGGCAGGAAAGTCCACAGGACTCAATTAACCCCCCCCCCCACCCTCCCAAAAAAAGCAGGAAGTGGAGCTGTGGCTCAAATGATAAAGTATCCGCCTTGAACAAAAGAAGTGGAAGCTCAATCGGGGCGCTGGTGGCTCAGGCCTGTATTCCTAGCTACTCAGGAGGCTGAGAGCTGAGAATCACAGTTCAAAGCCAGCCGGGACAGGAAAGTCCATGAGACTCTTATCTCCAATAAACTACTAGAAAACTGGAAGTGGTGCTGTGACTCAAGCGGTAGAGCACTCGACTTGAGCTCAAGAGTGCAAGGACAGTGCCCAAGCCCAGAGTTCAAGCCCCACAACCAACAACAACAAAAAAAGAAAGAGTAGAGTGCTTGCTGTGCATGCATGAGGCCCTGGGTT